TATTCTCTTTTTTATGAAGTCATTCAGGAGACAACCTACTAGTACACACTATCTCACTAGCGCTCAAGCATCGCTTGTGTATCTATCCTTGTAAAAAGAGGGCGCCATGCTAATTATTTTGTTTTAACTTGGCAGGTGCGTAAGTGCTGTTATTGCTGGAAGTGAGTATGTTAGATTGGCACGTGAACATCACCAGAGACAGTTGCTATCAAACGGTCATGCCGGTAATGCTGACAGTTTGGATCCAGATATGCACGTGTCAGCAGAAGCTAGTATAAAATCAGCAATGCAGCTCTTTATTAAATTCTCGGCGGGAATTGTACTAGATTCATGGAACGAAGTTAACAGGTAAATGATACTCATCAACGTATTTTCTTTTTATTTGATTAAACTTTACAAGCCATTTTACTTGTGGGACTTGAAACAAACCAGAGAAGCCAATATTGACATCTAATCCGTATGCATCATAACGCTAATGCGAAAATGTTTGTTTATTGCAGATCACATCTTGTTGCGAAGCTTATTTTCCTGGACCAACTCTGTGACATTTCACCATACCTTCCTAGAAGCTCTCTCGAGACCCACGTTCCATATGCTATTCTTCGTTCAATATACAGCCAGTACTATGGGAACTCTCCTTTGATGCCGGTGACATTATTAAGTGCCTCACCACGCCATTCCCCTTCCGTATCGTTGGCCCATGCCTCCCCTATAATGAGGCAGCCGCGAGGAGATTTGACTCTGCAGTACAGTGCTAAGGATTCGGGTTACTTTAAAGGTTCATCGTCTCACAGCCAAGAGCAATTTTATGATGCCGAAAATGCAAGTCTACGAGGAGGTGAATACAAACAAAGAAACGTTCGCCGCTCCGGGCCGTTGGATTACAGTTCAAGCCGTAAAGTCAAGTACTCTGAAGGATCGGCCTCTGGAGGTGTAGGTACCGGTCCCAGTCCGCTGCCAAGGTTTGCGGTATCTAGGTCTGGTCCAATCTCATACAAGTAAGATGAATTGATGGTCCACTTCAATAAGGAATATTACTTGTGCTAAATTATCTCATCTGCCTCTTGTCAATTAGTATGTGAAATTAGGTCATAAAATTAGGTTTAGGGTTTAGCTCACACAAAATTTTCTAAAAATGTATATGCAAATTTACTTCGTTGCTTTTAATTACAATGCACTTCTTTCCTGTAAATTAGATAAATTTTATTTTCAAAGGGTTCTAATTTTCATGTTTAAATTTCATTATTAATAGTTATTTTATCTTTATTTTTAAATAATTGTTTTAGTCTCGTGTCTGATAAATATTCGAAGTATATATATTTTTCAAGTATATAAAAAATAGTTTCATTTACCATAATTTTATTTTTCATAAGATTCAATAATACCTTATTGAAGTGTATATATATTATTACTCAATAATATATTTTTCAAGTATCGTAATAATTGTGTTTAATGAACGCCCTGAAGGGAGAGAGAGGAGATACAAAGGGTGAGAGAGTAAGTTTTAACTCTAATAAAAGTCTATATGAATAGCACGGTCGGTGAATTGTTCGTAAATTATTTGTATAATGTTTGTTTATTAAGTTAAATAAATGAGTATGAATAAAATTCTTATGTTCATCTGATAAATGAACGAATACAAAAAAATGTATGCTGAATTTGTTTATATTCACAAACAAACTCGTTTATAAGTATGTTTACTCGGTTCTTATTTTCTTTTTATTTTTTTTGTATTTTAAATATTAGTAAAGATAAGGATTAAATTGAACATAAGATGAACTATAGAGTTGAAACTTAAGGAATTTAAGGATTAGTGCCATAATTTTACTATTTTCCTTTGGCTTGCAAATAAAAGGGGTAAAAAGAAAGTGTTGATTGTCAAATGTTGCGAATGTTAAATGAACAAATATAAATATTTTTAAAAATAAATGATAAACACGAATATGATATTAAAATTTTAAATAAATACGAACCAAATATAAATACTTTAAAAAATTAATAAGCGAACATGAATATAACTTTATAAGTTTAAGCTCGATTCATTTATACCTCAAATCATAACCATGCATGTGGCCTGGGATGGAACGTAAGGATGAAATTGATAAAAATAAAAGATGTGAGCAAAGTCAAACCATAGTGCAAAGGGGAAGTGCAAACAGGAACGAAACCCAAGGCTTGCAAGTAGCAAAGAATGCAACATTTTGCGAATATAAGGGCCTTTTACTAAATACGGAGGTTTCTTTTCTTGAAGGAACAAGTATTTCCATATCTGATAAATTTTATCCATTTTTAGATGCCACAATGAATAATATAGAAAGAAACAAGATTGGACATCACGTAACTGCCACTTTGGACTCTGTTCGTCTTTGTCTTCTGTCTTTAGATTTGTTTTCCATAGCATAATCAAACAAGGGCTTAACACACAATATTAAATTGTTACTGCTGATGCAAAATGAGATCAGAGCATGTCCAACTCTCTTTAATATTTAGGTCTTTATGGAATATTTTAAAATTAAAGTATTCATTTAAAATAAAGATAATTGTTAAAGACTTGTTGTGCAATCAAACCACTTAAATAACATCTAAATCCAAGAGTTGTAAATTTATTTGACTTGTATTGTAGTTCACCCAACAGTGCAACGACCCATGAGTGATGTGATCTGACAAAATTATTTTGCGTCAAACAGACGGCTTACTGCCACATCAAGACTCCCTGTTGTCAAACCCTAAATAATCTTTAAACTAACACGATAAATGGCATGAAATCGATAGTAAATTATTTGATATTAAACAACAGTTAATTTTTAAATTGAATAGATTTGATACGAGTTTAAATCTGATTTAAATTTTAAACGAGTTAATATAGATTATTTGATATCTGATTTAAAATTTTAATTTTTAAGTAGATTAATTTATTATTAACATTTATAAAATATCTATCGACTATAAGATGATGTTTTGTTGAGTATATCTATTATCAAAAGTTATAAAATAGCCACTTGACGATTTCTATGTTTCAAACTCATCATTTTTCGTTAAAAAGGTTAATTGTTGGGCGTTAACATACTGATTGAGATATGATAAAATCATATTTTAATGATGTCTATTGACACCGATGTTACTTTCAAACAGTGGCTCGACAATATAATATAAATAGTGACTCAATCCACAAAATACAATTCAAACAGATCTGATATCATATTTTAACGTCTAGCTCAGACGACCATCAATCTTTTAACAGAAAAAGACATGCTTGGAATATATATAAATAGTTGAGTGACTATTTTATAATTTTTAATATTATAGGTCTCAACAAAGCAATATATTATAATCGAAGACCATTTTATAATTTTCAATAGTTAAAGAACTTAACAGAATAATATCATATTATCTAATCAAATGATTGTTTGAGTACCTTATCCAAACTTATACTACATCCTACCAATAGGGATGGCAACGGGTCGGGTTTCGGTCGGGTATTGGTCCCCCCGTCCCCATCCCCGTTTAAAAAACTCGTATCCATCATCGCTTAAAAAATCGCGAGGATTTAAATGGGGATCACCATCGGGTAATCAGAAAAAACTGCGGGGAAACAGGTATCCCCGTTTAGCATAAATAATTATTTAAACGGGTATCGGGCCGGTATATATATATTTAAATTAAATATATAAATATTATATAAATATTTTAATTTAATTTTAATTTATTAATATTATATATATATATAATAATTATTTTTAATATTTATTAGGCCGGGTATCAGACCTGATAATCGGGTAATCGGGGCGAGGATTACCAAACCCGTTCCCGTCCCCGTTTAGCATAAACGGTTTTTTTCTATCCTCGTCTCCGTTTAGTATAAACGATTTTTCTCCATCCCCGTTTAATTCGATTTTCGATTTTTCCTGTCAGGTTCGAATTTTTTTTTCATCCCTACCTACCAAATTGATATAATATTCTCCTAAATGATCAAATATTTTTCATATTTATATTGTTAGGCCAAGTAATCGAGTCATCTATGTAGTGTAGTTTAAATTTCTTAGCCTTTCGAGACACACATGTGAATGGCGAAAACATTTGAGATAATAAAATTTCGTCTATCTACTCTGACTCTGAGCATGGGTTTCTTGTATCTTATAATGCACATATAAAATTAATAGACGGGATCTTTGAATAATTTATGTGATCTATTAAAAAAAATATTACTACTAGATATGTATAGATTGTCGACACAACGGACACTAAAGTTTTTTATAAATACGTTTTAATACAATCTTGAAAGGGAATAGAACCCTGTCCACCCTCACCACCTCTTTATCTTCTTTTTTATTTTTTATATGATAGAAAAAATTAAAACACCGATCAAAGATCAATTCTTTATCGATCATGACTCACGTTCTAAATATAAAAAAAATGAATCGTTCACTGTCAATGAGATAATCTTATTCTCATCAACGAAATCAATGATGAAAAATGTGTTTATAATCAAAGATAGGTGTAGAAAAGATGACCAAACGACTTGCATCCCAATTTGATGATTGATGAATGCAGAATTGATGATGATCATGGATGACTGCCTCTTGCTTTTCATGCCAAAGAAAGACTTGCATTCCAACTCGTAAGGCTTAGCGATGGTTTCTTGTCTGGTCTTGTATCTGTAAATCAATCAATTGAAAAGGAACTGCTACTCTGAATAACCAATACAAGCGAAGCCAAAAGCACACTTATTTTTAAACTAAATATATATTCAGATGCACTTGTCTGTTCCTCCTGTAACTTCCTCGGCCTTCACAAGAAAACATGACACTGAATAGATAGATGGAACCATCAAAGTCACTGCCACTGCCACACTAAAGACAACAAACAAAGAGCAAAATAGAAAAGAAATTCTTTTTATTTTATTTTTCAATATAAAGACACCTGTTGTGTCCCTCCCCAACCAAATCAAGACACCCCAAGAAAAAAAGATATCCTTTCTTCTTATTTGTTCTTCTTCAAGCCGTACTCTTTTCTTTTTCAATTGAACAAAAAATTAAACTTTCAAGTCCTCTCTATGTTTCTCATGGATGGTTTTAACATGTCTGTGCCTCTACCTTTCTCATACACTTTCACCATCACAAGCAGCAGAAGTTCGACTACGAGCACCCACACGAATCCTTGGATGGACGTTCGGATATGGAGTAGGTTACCAGATCAGCTGCTCGATCGAGTCATCGCGTTTCTTCCACCGCCGGCTTTTTTCCGAGCTCGTTCCGTTTGTAAGAGATGGTACGCTCTCCTTTTTTGCAGCAACTTCCTTGAATTATACATGCAGATATCGCCACGCCACCATTGGTTTATGTTCTTGAAGCACAAGCCATTGAAGAACTACATCTACAGAGCTAACGACAACGCCTGTGGAGCAGACGACAGAACCAACTGTGAAGGGTACCTCTTTAATCCCTATGATGTTTTATGGTACCGCCTTTCGTTCAACTTGCTTCCTTCTGGATTCTATCCGGCTTCTTCCTCCGGTGGCTTGGTTTGCTTTGTTTCCGACGAAGCCGGCACGAAAAATATCATCCTATTCAACCCTTTAGTTGGTTCTTTAAGCCAGTTGCCCCCCACGCTAAGGCCCCGCCTCTTCCCCTCAATAGGATTTACAGTTAGTCCCACATCGATTGACGTTACGGTTGCCGGAGATGATATGATTTCGCCTTACGCGGTCAAGAATTTATCCACGGAAAGCTTCCACATCGATGCCGGTGGATTTTACTCCATCTGGGGCGCCACCTCTTCATTGCCACGCCTTTGTAGCCTCGAATCAGGCCGAATGATTCACGTCGTCGGTAAATTCTATTGCATGAGTTATAGCCCGTTCAGCGTCCTAGCTTACGACATGGCCGCAAACAAGTGGTTCAAGATTCAAGCCCCCATGCGAAGATTCCTCCGATCACCGGGCTTGGTGGAGAGTCGAGGAAAGCTGGTGTTAGTCGCTGCAGTAGAGAAAATCAAGCTCAACGTGCCGAAGAGTTTGAGACTATGGAGCTTGCAAGACTGCGGAACGACATGGGTAGAAATCGACAGAATGCCATTGCAACTGTATATGCAGTTTGCTCAATTCGAAGGTGGTAATGGCTTTGATTCAGTCGGACATGGCGAATTCATCGTGATAATGATTCGAGGGACCGACAAGGGGTTGCTGTTCGATATCTGTAGGAAGAGGTGGCAGTGGATTCCAGCGTGCCCTTACATTGACTGTGATAACAATGGAGAGGATGTTGAATTGCGTGGTTTGGCTTATGAGCCTAGGCTTGCTACGCCGGTTATCGGTCTCCTTAGTTGATCGAGGCTGGTTTTTGTTTTACTGATGTGCTACGATGATCTTAAAGCTAGTAGTGTTTTGATGTACTGAACATGATTTTGATGCATGAAGCTTCTGTTCCTGCTTTCTTTCCCTTGTGGCCAATAATGCATTTAATTTGAATGATTTGATTTCTCTAAAATATTAATTCCTATCTGATTTTCTCTCAGTTTATCTGTACTCGGAGTCTTCTCTTCCTGCTTTATAGCCATCCAAAATGTACGCACACATGCCATTTGGGGCCTGAACAACGGCAGTCAGGCAGGGAGCTGCTTGAATCTTGATTGGAGTTTCATAGAAATAGAGTAGTAGTTTAATTATACGTTTAGGGTAAATTATACTTTTAGTACTAATCCAGTGGGAAAAAAATAATGGCTAAGATAATGCAATGTAGAGATTATTTCTTTGAATTGGGTGATTGCTACAGTATATCCGAAGTCGCATTGCCCTTCACGCATCCTAGCCGAACTCTTTGAAGTCGCACGGTCTTCCATGATTTTTTGGCAAAAAAACACTCGAAGCCGTCGTGGCTTCCAGGCGTTTTCTACCCCAAAAATCTCTCAACGTTGCATGAAAAGTCATACGTTTCTCAACTCCAATAGCGCATGGAGTGCATGGCGTCTCCCACTGCCACACTGTATGGGCCATGCACCAATCACGTAGGTGCAGGCTGGTAGTTGGCATTCAAATGTAGGTGGTAGCTGGTACTTGACATTCGAATGATAAAAGCTTAACTCATACTTCTATATTAACTCATACCTTGTAAGAACAAGTTGAACATAAAAAAAATTCTTTAAGCTATATATATGTAAGAATGAAATCGAGAGTGATCATTTAAAAACTAAAGATAGGAGTAACAATTGGAGGAGAGTGCAATTGATCAGTGAGAAATTGCAAAGAAAATTAACACAAGGAGCATTTTAGAAAATTTGGTGTTTTTTTTTTCTTTTATTATTCTAATTTAAGTATGTATTATATGGTAAATTGATTTAAATTTGTGTTATTTTGCATGAAATTAGTCCAATACTTTTTTTTTGTAGAAAAAAGTGGTGAATTAAGTTTGAAGAAATTTTATTTGAGGTATTTTACTATTGATTATTATATTAATATTATTTTTATAAATATTTGTTAATTTTACTATTGTTGTAATGTTAATATTATTTTATATGATCATAGTGTACCATTATTTTTTCATTCTAAATACCAAATTTGAATTTGTAGAGAAAATAAGCAATACTTTTTTCACGATTGTCCATTATAATGGGCATATTATGGAAAATGAGGTTGTAGTTGTTTTTCATTCTGAAATACATATAATTATGATGTTCAAAAGGGTTATTACATTTATAGAAATGAAGCAGATGAAAGAAAGAAAAATTCGAGCTACAATTGATGATTTGAAGTACCGATTTATGTTATGTCTCAATCCAGTTAAATATGTTGCAGTACCAGTTGAAGAAGATGATGATATTGAAACCACGATTAGATTACATGAGTCAACAAATATTACCGTTATTGAGTTATTTGTTGATGTGCGTAAGATATCTGATGCTCCTGGGTCATCAAGAAATGTGGCTGGAAATTCATCTCAAATGATTTTCGGAAGTAAGTTTGAAGACCTGATATACAGATCGATAAACAATTTTTATGACACTATTGGAAAGTGGAAATGAAATCGGTAGAACATCCACAATAGTTGAGTATGAGGAGAGAAACATATATCATTCGTAATTGACTGTTGATGTTGATGCTGAAAATCGATGGGGAGAAATTCATGATGATTCCAGGGAAGATGAAGAAACTGAGGAACCCATTTTGGTCGACGATGATAATTTGTCCGATGTTGGTGCACCGAACTTGGTCACTGATGAATTTTCGACACCGAATCAACCTACCCCTCACATGTACGAGATAGATTATGATGCGATGAGGGCACCATAATTCCCAGACATGCCACATATACCTTCATACCACATGACTGAATCATTCTAAAATTATGGTAAATTTTCGGTTGGGATGCAATTTAGAGGAAAAAATGAAGTTATGTTGGCGATTAAAGAGTATTGCATCAAAAACCATGTTGATGTCCATGTTGCAGAGTCCAACAAAAAAACCATATATGCAAAGTGTGTTAAATATGACCCAAAGTGCAAGTGAAAGATCAGAGTGTCCAAAATTCAGAGGCACGATGCTTGGGTCATCACAAGGTACAATGGTCCTCACACATGTTTGCGAAACTCAATCGAACAAGACCACTGACTATTGGACTCCAATGTAATATGTGAATACGTGAAGGTGTTGGTTGAAAAGAATCCAAGGATCCATTGTTCAATGTTAGTTTCTATTCAAAGCCAATTTGTATACCAAGTAAAATGCGGCAAGGTTTGGAATGTGAAAATGAAGGAAATGAAGCTGACGTATGGAGATTGAGATACATGTACAATTAGCTACCACATTTATTACAAGTAATGAAGCAATTCATCATGGGAACCATAGTGAAGTCTCAAACCATGCCTGCATATGACGAAGAAGGTCAACTTGTTCCAGGGAAAAATATATTTCATAGACTCTTTTGGGCATTCAAGTCATGCATAAAAGGATTTCCATTTTTGAAAACGTATGGTCCAAGTAGATGGTATGCGGTTGCATGGTCAATATAAGCATGTATTGTTGATGGTAGTTGCGCAAGATGGTGAACGAAATATTTTACCAATTACATTCGCCATTGTTGAATGAGAGGCAACAGAGGCTTGTGATTTCTTTTTGACCAATCTACGTCAATATGTCGTTCGAGAAGATGGAGTTTGCATGATATCCGATCAAGGAACATACATTTTGGCGACAATTGAACGACCATGAAGTCGTAAGATACCTCCGCATGCATATCTCACATTTTGTATTTGCTTTATTAGTAAGAATAGTAACGATCAGTTTCATAACACTCTCATTCGTAGAGAGATAGTAAGCATGTGTAAGGTTTATTTTCAATATGTATGTAATGATTTATGTGTTTTTTTAGTTGAGGTTTAACAAAATATATATTATGAAATATGATATGAATTACGCCAACCAAATTTTGATAAGAGGTTGGAGAATTTGAAGGTATTTTATGATGTTCAACATATTTGGAAGTGGGCTTTGAAAATTCAGCAAGAAAAAAGGTCGCAAGCATACAACGAGGGTCGGCGATATAGACACATAACTATAATCTTGTTGAGGCCATTAATTTAGTACTAAAAGATACATGTCATCTCCCAATAGCGAGTGTGTTGAAAGAAACATACTTTACGTTGGCTAAGATTTGGTCTGATAAAGGTAACGAGATTGAGTGTCTCATAAATAAAGGTCAAACTTGGGCTCTTGTAGTGGTGGAAGCAATGAAAGCAAACGAGCTATTGGCAACCTCAATGTCTGTTCATAATTTTGACCGAGTTGGTCATATTTTTGTTGTGTCATGCATACGCCACAACGAATGAGGAGAATGCCAAACATTTAAAGTTGATTTACGAAACAAATGGTGTGATTGTGGTCGCTTTCAGGCATGGAGATATCCATGTGCTCATGTAGTCGCTGCATGTATGTATGTTGGTGTAAACACATACACTTATGTTGATAAGTGCTTTCATCTACATAGGATATTAAATTCCTACAGTTATGCATTCATACAGATCCCCAAATGAATCATATTGATAAAAAAAAGGATCATGACGAATGGCTGCCAAATCCAATGCTTCGTAAAACTCTAAAGGGTCGACTTGAGTCCAATCGTAATCATACCAGTATGGATTTCCATGCTAGAGAGAAATACCAACCAAAAAGATGCGAACTATGTAGGGGTGAAGGTCATTAAAAAAATGTTCAAATCTACCAAGATATAAGCCTCATCAGTAATCATATAGTATTTGTATGTGAACGAATATTTGAATTTTTTTTATTTCAATTTGAAGGAATGTGATAAACTAAAATATGTTATATATATTTGATATCAATTTGTATTAATAATTAACTTGATTTTATAATAATTTATGTTTTTTAATATTATAATTTATGTATTTTTATTTTAAAAATATATTTTATTTTTATCTTAATTTATTAAATATATTTTATTATCAAACTAAATTAAAATATATATTTTATTATTCTTATTTTAGTTTAAAAATATTTTTTTCTTATCTAACATAAAAATATATATTTTATCTCATCTTAACTTTTAAAATTTAATAAAAATGATATAATTACATATTTGGTCACTTTTACTTATATATTCTATCAATTTAGTCTTAATTTTAATAAATTAAAATTAATTAAATCTTCGAATCAGATCATGCCACGTGTTAGTAGTGTCAAATATCATGACATGTGTCGTCACCCAATCGAAGTTTACCATTTTTTTAAATTTAATATATTTAGTTTTCACCACCATGGGACAATGTTAACTATTTGCCTTGCAATTGAATATATCTTAACTTAAATTCACATCTTAATTAATAAAATTGAATATAAAATAAAATATATATTTTTTTACTTTAGTTAAGATAAAAATAAAATATATTTCTAAATTAATATAAGAATAAAATATATTAATATATTTTTTAAAATTAAAATTACAATAAAATAATAATAAAATTATAGAATTATTAAAATTATTAAAATATTATTCAAATTAAAATAATATTACCTTACAAACCAATTATTAAAATATATTATCGCCATTGAAAATATTATTAAATATTAAAATAACAGGTGTTGTTTATTAAATGAAAATATTATTAATATAGAAATATTAAATTTATTGAAAATAGTATTTAGATTAATTTTAATTTTTTTTTATTTTTTTAATAACATGATTGATTTACGTATTTTATATTAATGAGTGTGATTAATTAAACAAAATTAAACCATCTGATTTGAATAAATAACATTTTATTTAATATTAATTTTTATACAAATAACAATTGACTTTATAATTCTTGACGATGTCGGGGTGTTATGGAATGATAATGTCGAGGTGAACGTCAAATGTATTGTGACCGTTGCG